AGCACAGCGCTGTACTGTAGACGCGGTCGTTTGGCCCGCTCAGATTCGTCGGTCGATGGGTCGCTGTCTGCAACAGGGCTACCCTCAAAAACCCTATGTGTTCTTCGTTCGTCAGCTGTCGCGTCCTTGTGCACACGAATAGCGCGAGACGTACTTGCGAAGGTGATCGGCGGCGGATGTGGTGGCGCTCGCTGCGAAGAACACTGCTTGGCTCTTTACGTCGCAAAGGCGGCAAACCCAGTAGGCGCTCAGCGGGCTGTCATTGGCATCAAGCTCAACAACGAACAGCCCATGGAGTTTGATCCAGCTCTTCCGGCCCTTGGAGCCTTTCCGCGACAAAGATTCCTCCAAGACATATCGCTTGTTCCGCCACACGGCCAGCGGCAGATCCCCAATTGTCGCATTATCGGGTACTGTTGCGATAGAGCCTTTTTCAAACTGGCTGGATAAGTTCTTGAGGGATTTCAGGAAAGAAAACGCAGACGGAACTAGCGAGGTGTCCATTTTAAGGCACTAGTATCTTTCTATTTCAAGGTTGATAAATTTGGATTAGCAAACATCCACCTCCGGAACGCGTTTGTATGAGACGCGACGCGACGCGCCATAGTCTATGTCATAGGGGTACTTAAGTTTGCGAGTGCATTAGCGGTATTTTCTTTGTACCTTTCTAGTAGTCTACCTCATGTTTAGGGTAGCGCTGGTTACTATTAAGCCGACTATATGGAAAAAGTCGGACAAAAACGAGATTGAATCAAATGTATCAAACGCAAATCATTTGAAACTATGTATTTGTTTGTTTGCCAAATTTTTCGTACTGACTTGTTTGATTTGTTTGATAATTTGTTTGATGTGATTTGATTTAAGAGCAGCGCTGATTAGGTCAGGCCAGCCCCCTTGAACAGATCTTGCACAGGCGTCAAAAGAATGTCTAGTTTCCATATAGAACAAGGCCGACTCTATTACGCACTCGCAGGCAGCTATCTTCATCTCTATTTCCTAACTGTTATACAAGAAAGAACCTCCTCGTCGCTCTCAACCATCTCCCACTGACTCCTTCGCCTGCGGATGCTTGGTTGCGTCCTCCGTCCGCTGGCACGTATCCCTGTAGTCCTTCCACTTCCAAGAGTAGCCGACTGACTGCATGTCTGGGGCTGGGATGAGGGACTGGCCTGTTGGCCCTCTCCTAGGGCAAGTCTAGCAAGCGTCGACTTGTTCCGACTCCCTGGTAGTCGACCTCGTCTGCGCCCTGACGCCTGGCTAGCTGGGCTACTCCGCACTACACCTAACAACGCTGGAAACGGCAAGTGACACTCTCGACGAGGGGGAAGGGATGCAAATAGTACTCGCAATTATGGGTGTAGAGAGTCAACCGACTTTGTTGCTGCTTTGGACGAGACGTTTGAAATTCGTCGTCAGAGTCCGGTCAAGGGAAGCCAGAACTTCCGTACGTCCGTAAAAACCAGCAGATGATAGTGGTTCAATCTCTTGATGGCAGAAGGACGCAGTACAGCCTGGGTCGTAGTGAACACATGTCGGGCTGACTTACTGTCGGTCGGTATCGATGTCGTTGATGGTAGCAGTAGAAGCGATTGATGCGACTGCGATACTGTAATCGCAATTGCTCCATTTGACCCCCTAACGTTACTTCTCCGCGTCTGGGCTGTGACGGAACTAGCGGTTGAGATGGCTAAGAGTGCGCTGGTGGCGCAGAGCCCTAGGGGAAAGACACGTAATACCATTCTGGCGCGGCTGCTTTTAGCCTTGCAGGAACACTCAAAGTACATGCGCGTTGTCTGCATCCAGCCCTGCCGTGCAAAAGCCAGACAATGTTTGATTGCGGTCGGCGCACAGAGTACGGCAGCTAGCGGCCTGAGCGATGGCGTGTCCGGCAGGACCCTGCAAGCATGCCAGGCGGACTGGCCTTGGAAGCGATGTATATGGCACGGTTGGGCCACCCTCGGATTGTACTAGCGAGCGCGCTGCTCTGGGCAGTACAAACGTATAATTCCATGGTACTACTTGTCGTAGAAAACTGGACAGGCATACTGAGCCGCCTGCGACCTCTTGTGGCGAAACACTACAAGCATGTTTTGATTGAAAGTAGAGTGTACACCTATCGAAACTACGTCGCATGAGAATACGGCGGGCAGGGGGCTTTTGTGCAGTCAACCAGACAAATTTTGATAGAGACAAACTATGTTCATTATATTA